CAACGAGTCGATGTTTCCCGAAACCATCGTTCCAACGAACATTTGCAAACAGCATCACAAAGTTGTGTGGTTGGAATGACAGCTCTCGAGCTGTGGTTAGAAGCATAGTTTCTAAATTGCATGACATGTGGACTTAATATATATCCATATCTTGAGCAAAATAAGCAAGCTGGCATTCAGTACAACCTGTGTCTTTTATTTAGAAAACATACAAATGGCATTTACTTCTTTGAGTTTGTCAAGAGATTCAAAGCACCATTTTTGAAGAATGCGCATGTGCAAACGTGCTCTACTATGTAAGAACGAGCCTATGATTGAAACTGGAAATAAAGCGAAATCATTAGCCCTGTATATAATAATAATAATTAATGCCAACGGCATTAAGACTAACACTTCAAATTCACTCACTGCCTATCTTGCTCGATTCAGGCCTGTTGTTTTGTCTCTGAAGGCACAGCCAACTACAATCTAAACATTCTCACGTGCTCTACTACTTTTCGAGTCTTGTGTCTATCCGGTCAGGTCATGGTGTACAGACATAGTCAAGGATAGTCACACAACAGTGATGTTCCCATCCTCCTCCTTTGTTCACAAATTTGACTGGGCTCTCTTGATAATGTTTATGGTGACTTAGCCAATCTGTCGCTTTTTCTATGCTGTCAAGTCTATTATTTTACATTTATCATTCTGACCACACATATTTACATTTAGACTATATATTTCCTCATATTTCTAGACAAGGGTTTGTAACCCATATAGACATTAGTTCAATATCAACACTTCTATAAATTGTGTCTTGCCCATAAGTCAACCAACATCATGGTCCTGATATAAATTAAGAAATGCTGTTACTGTCTCCACCTACTGGCTTTTGAAAGTCCATTTCCATTAGCTCTTTATCTATAATCTTATTTTCTTCAGGGTGTTGTCCCCTGGCATAGTTGCAGACACTTGTCACAATGAAAAACAAGCCATAAAATGAATGAATGCGGTTTCTGGTGGGTGGTATGAAGGAACTCACATTTCTGGGTCAGACTGCCGTAACTTCTCACAGCTCATCCCCCCCATCGGCCCTGTATGGTGGAGACTAAAATGAGACAAAGTTACTGATCCTAAAATAAACTAGTCAAAATGTCACTTCTATAGGTCTGCATTATTTTAAAGACTTCTTTAAAGTCATTCAGTTTTACTTTTAAAACATTTAAATACAAATTGCCCTCTGAATGGCAACGATTTCTTTTAACATCTCCTTGTCTATGATTTTCAACTGAAACAGTGTGCTTTTCTATAAATAGCTTGTTAACACTTATGACACAGGCTCATATAACAGCTTTTAGTTGACATTGAATGAGACTTTCAGGCATTTAGAACTGATACTCTGTCTTTTCTTGTAACAATGTCCTTCTATATTTTAACTCTATCTCAGCTTAAGACATCTTTGCCAGAAATTACATGTTTTCAATACAAACATAATTTTTATATATTTTTGCAACTCACATTTATTGGAGGCATTATTTTATATCAACCTGTATTTCATCAATTTTTCATCAAAAACTATTTTTTTTAATTATTATTATACAGGTCCTTCTCAAAAAATTAGCATATTGTAATAAAGTTCATTATTTTCCATAATGTAATGATAAAAATTTAACTTTCATATATTTTCGATTCAATGCACACCAACTGAAATATTTCAGGTCTTTTATTGTTTTAATACTGATGATTTTGGCATTCAGCTCATGAAAACCCAAAATCCCTGTCTCAAAAAATTTGCATATTTCATCCGACCAATAAAATAAGTGTTTTTAATTTAAAAAAAAGTCAACCTTCAAATAATTATGTTCAGTTATGCAATCAATTGTCAATACTTGGTCGGGAATCCTTTTGCAGAAATGACTGCTTCAATGCGGCGTGGCATAGAGGCAATCAGCCTGTGGCACTGCTGAGGTGTTATGGAGGCCCCGGATGCTTCGATAGCGGCTTTAAGCTCATCCAGAGTGTTGGGTCTTGCGTCTCTCAACTTTCTCTTCACAATATCCCACAGATTCTCTATGGGGTTCAGGTCAGGAGAGTTGGCAGGCCAATTGAGCACAGTAATACCATGGTCAGTAAACCATTTACCAGTGGTTTTGGCACTGTGAGCAGGTGCCAGGTCGTGCTGAAAAATGAAATCTTCATCTCCATAAAGCTTTTCAGCAGATGGAAGCATGAAGTGCTCCAAAATCTCCTGATAGCTAGCTGCATTGACCCTGCCCTTGATAAAACACAGTGCACCAACACCAGCAGCTGACATGGCATCCCAGACCATCACTGACTGTGGGTACTTGACACTGGACTTCAGGCATTTTGGCATTTCCTTCTCCCCAGTCTTCCTCCAGACTCTGGCACCTTGATTTCCGAATGACATGCACAACTGAGCAACAGTCCAGTGCTGCTTCTCTGTAGCCCAGGTCAGGCGCTTCTGCCGCTGTTTCTGGTTCAAAAGTGGCTTGACCTGGGGAATGCGGCACCTGTAGCCCATTTCCTGCACACGCCTGTGCACGGTGGCTCTGGATGTTTCTACTCCAGACTCAGTCCACTGCTTCCGCAGGTCCCCCAAGGTCTGGAATCGGTCCTTCTCCACAATCTTCCTCAGGGTCCGGTCACCTCTTCTCGTTGTGCAGCGTTTTTTGCCACACTTTTTCCTTCCCACAGACTTCCCACTGAGGTGCCTTGATACAGCACTCTGGGAACAGCCTATTTGTTCAGAAATTTCTTTCTGTCTCACCCTCTTGCTTGAGGGTGTCAATGATGGCCTTCTGGACAGCAGTGAGGTCGGCAGTCTTAACCATGATTGCGGTTTTGAGTAATGAAACAGGCTGGGAGTTTTTAAAATCCTCAGGAATCTTTTGCAGGTGTTTAGAGTTAATTAGTTGATTCAGATGATTAGGTTAATAGCTCGTTTAGAGACCCTTTTCATGATATGCTAATTTTTTGAGACAGGAATTTTGGGTTTTCATGAGCTGTATGCCAAAATCATCAGTATTAAAACAATAAAAGACCTGAAATATTTCAGTTGGTGTGCAATGAATCTAAAATATATGAAAGTTTAATTTTTATCATTACATTATGGCAAAATAATTAACTTTATCACAATATGCTAATTTTTTGAGAAGGACCTGTAGATCTTTCCTTCAAAAGGATTTCCTTAAGACTTCAATCTTTCAAACTTCTTTTTTACTCTTATTCTTTCTCTGACAAAACGTTATTATCATCATATTAAACACTGATTTACTTTCAAATACACATTAACACCAGAAATTTGTGTGTTTTACACTTTTCTGAGTAGGCATTTAAAATGACGTGCTAAATGGCCCTGCTGACCATAATTAAAACACTCTCTGTCATCTGGTGAATTCGTTTCAGCCTTAACTACAGCATCAGACACTTGCCTATAGTTTGATCATTTTGAGCTTGCAAACAGCTACAACTTACTTCACACCATTGAAGCAGTGTGTCCCAATCAGGAATGCAAACAGAGCTGATAAGCAGTTCTCTGTATTCTTTTGACAGCATCTGTGTGTGTTTTCTCAGATCCATGAAGAAAGCTTTAGGCTGGACTGTGAACTCTGACTGTAAATCAATAATATTTTAATCAATTATAAAATTGATCTACAGTACATTAATTTCCATTTTAACTCCGACTGCCCACGAGGTTATTAGTTTTTCAACCATGTTCATGCAAAAATACCAGTAAGGGATGTGAATTAAGTGCAAGTGCATGATCACACATAACGTCACAATACAAAGAAATGTACATTGAAAAGTATTCTCCCTCAAAATTATGATTTATGTACAAATGAATGAATACTTTACACAGGTGCAATAACAAAAAATATACTCTTCAGATTTCCCTCTGGCTTTCTTGCCTGAGTTACATCTATATAATAAGGATGAGAGTGTTATGGGCAGCATCTTAAATATCTTCACTCCCACAGGAAACTGAACAGTAAGAACGAAGATTTAACATCTGAACTGCAGAAGGTTTTTGGACCTGGTTTGGTAATCAAAGTGGAGGACAGTTCTGGAGACTCTGGAGAATCCAGTCAAGCCGTCAAATACGCTCTCATCGCTGTCAGTGTTGTGCTGATTATAAGCATTGTGGTTATTTTGTCGCTGTCTGTCTATCTTGTCAAGTAAGTTATTACTGTTTTAAACTGGCCTAAAAAGAATTCCTAAATGAGAAATACATTTAAAGTCTGAAGTTACTGTTATACAGCTTTCCTAAAATGCAGTAATGTAATGCCAGTTATCTTCGATGTAATAAAATGACGTTTGACTCATATTTTAGGGGTAATTTTTGTGAAGACAATTAATATGATTGGTCAATTAGTTATAAAAAATATTTTTCCTGCCTCAGGAAAAAGGGCACAGATTCTGACACAAACAGCTCAACTACTGGCTGTGATTTACTCGAAAGGAGATGTAGTATTGGCACTCCTGCTGACTTTAAGTAAGTGCATTTCGTAACTCATTTGTGAAAATACAAAATATGCATCAGTTATATACGTTGGTTTGTTCTGAGATGTTTGTTTGACTAAACATGTTTCTTCTTTTGTTCCAGAAACCCAGAATCCATAGAGGTAAAACATCTAACTGTAATGACAAACTCAGAGTATAATTCATTAAGTATATTTTTTTGTACCATTCAATTATAATTTTGTCATAAAACATGGAATTTAAATTCTCATTTATATTTTTGTCCTATGTGTGTTCTGTTTTCTAGGATGAGGATAGTAACGGATCCTGACAGACAATCTGAGAATGGAAGTGATAATCGTGGAAACAGCATCTCTGCCCTCTGAAAACACCCTGATGGATCAAAGCTCCTCACTTCCTCTCAGTGGTGTACAAGACTTAGTGAGATGCCTTTTGTAGGCAGGCAGCATTTTTAAGGTTGAGTTCCCTACATGGACGAAAACACCATCGGGTGACAGAAATCAGGCTCTGGGCTTCAGCATTACAGGATTAACATCTCTGATCATGTGTCCTCAGTTCCAGGATCAGCCGTCATGTGACTCTCACAATGACAAACTCAAGTCACAACCAAGCGGCAAACTTCCGGTCTCTCTTGAATCCAACACGGAAGTGACTTAAACTGCAATTCATCGACTGGCCACTAGAGACAGCTGTTAAGACACATGTAGCACTGTAGAGCAAACAGGAGAGATGGTGCTGGATACGCCACAGTCATTGGATTGATTCCCAAGGAATACAAGAACTGCCAAATTTGTAAATGTAAATAAATGTATATTTTTTTAAATATAGCCTCTTTGTCTTTAATTCACATTTAGCATTTGGTAAAAAATAACAAACATTAAAAATGTTTAACATATTTTGTTACATTTCCAGATAAAATATCAAATAAAATAAAAACAAGATCCTACAATTACTTCTTTGAAGTGACCATCACATTTAAATTTTAATAATGGTCTCATAAAAGGGCCCTTAATGAAGGAATTTGGTTTGGAATTTTACTTCACATAACACACATTCACCAAATTGTCCAATTGTTATTTTTGCTGATGTATTCATGTGTATTGGGTTAAATGGTGGAAGAAAAGTTTGCAACATTTGTTTTATGAAAATGTGTGTTACACATTTCCTTTGGGAAGATTTCTTATGTGTCTCATAAAACTGTGAGTTAAGTCTGTCTATATAAGAATAATTATGTAACAGTGATAAGATGACAATAAAGTAACTAATATGCATTTTTACACAGACCACAACTACTGTGATTGGTCAGGATGGAATCTGTGGTAGCTTTGTATTCACATTCAGAATTAATAGCCTGGAAGCTTTTAATGAAAGCAGTGAGACTGATAAAACACAAACACTTTGAGAAGACCACAACAATAGATGTTAATATTGATTAGGCATGTGGAACTAAAGGTTGTTGTTTTTTAAGTACACGGAACAAAGACTTTTACAACTCCTGGAGGGAAACAACACATGCAACAGCACCCTCTGCATGTCAGGAGGAGCAGAGTGCGTACAAATTCAAAGACATTTATCTATAGACTACTAGAGCATCATATAGAAAAACAAATAAAAAGCAGTGCATGAGAATGCAAAACTTGCTCTGTGTAAACCGGCCCTAAGGCAGCTCCCTATGGGAGTAGGCAGTAAGGCAACTTGCTAGATTTAGGAACAGAGCAAATACTCCCAATCACGGGCGTCAAGTGCAACTACTCTGAGTGTGTGTGATCGCTAACTCCATACTAAAAGACTTGCTCCCTTTTTCCATCAGAAAACGAAAGACACATATAATACAGATTTCTAAATGTGTGTTTAAATATATAATTTTATGTTAAAAAAAATAACTGTGCGCACATAACACATAAATCATAACTTCATTGCTGGTCAATGAATCGTAACTTTTTAACCTTACATATTTATTAAACTATAAAAATTATTTATTCAAACTTGTATATCTTATTCTAATGAATATATTTCAACAGGGTTACATTAACTACATTCGTTCCGAACCAAAATCAATCAACTAAGATCCTTATGCGTGCATGACATCGATCCTGTGATGTGACTATTTTGCGGATACGCACATTGCGATATCGATGCTAAAACGTTATATCGTGCTGCCCTAATCATGTTTTCTATATTACCAGAGATAGAGAAAAATCCTACTCCAGTATATACGTGTCCCCAAAAATGTTGGTACTCAAAAGCGCTTCCCTCCACGTTTTCAGGTGCGCATCATTCATTTTTACCACTCATGCGCTCCAGTTATGTGCACCCCTGGATATAGATTGCAGATATGCTGTCCGAAGCAGGCCTGTTACCCAACTCAGTGATGTATGTAATATAAACACAGCTCGCAACTATTCCCTGAATAGAATGGGAACATATGTGAAAACTAAAAGCAAAATCACCACATGAATGAGTGTATTATTTTGCTGTTTTTCTTCCTTCTCTTTTTTTACACACTCATTACAGAATGAGCCAACGATGGCTCTGTAACATCCAGTTTATAAAATCGAACAAAAGTGTGAAGCGAAGCCTAACTTGTTGAGCACGAATGTCCTGAACTGAATGCCCTTAAACAGTGCCCATGAGGTAGCCATACCTATGGTAGAATGAGCTCTCAGCCCTTCCGGAGAACTGAGAGCCATTTTATTATAACTAGGACCGGGACTCGATTAAAAAAATTAATCTAATTAATTAGAGGCTTTGTAATTAATTAATCGAAATTAATCGCATTTTAATCGCATAAATATTTGACCTGAGAACTGTGAGAAGTATTTTTTTTCACATGGATTTTTAGTATACCATTGAATAATGACTGCATACATAAGCTTAAGCAACAAAATATTGTTTATTTTTGTTCAACCAAGTCCAGCAGACCAGTGCAATTTTTGCCATTAAGTGTAGCAATAGCATATTGCAACAAAATAGCATATTGCTACACTACACTAATAGTAATAGCGAATTCCTTGTTGCATAGCTTGCACACAACCATGCTCTTATCGACGCGTCCATCCGTTCGTTTTTTGTAACAACATTTCCCAGCCACCGGCCAACCAAAGCAATCTCGTCAGCTTCTTCGTCATGAACGCTAGTTGGTGCGCCAGTATAATCGGTCCGCCGAAACTCATCCAGTGAGAAACGTTCCGCGGTGCAAAAATAAGTGCGATTAAAAATAATTTTTTGTGTAATTAATTAACGCGTTAAAGTCCCGGCCCTAATTATAACCTAATATAATAGCTTACACTACCCAGTGGGACAGGCGCTGATGTGAAATAGGTTTACCCTTATAAGAATCAGCCCATGAATCAGCTCTTCCTTAGTACCTTTGTTCTGTCCACATAGTGAAGCAATGCACGGACAGGGCAACGGAACAATGAAGCCGCTCTTCTTCCGATGAGGAAAATCCCAGCGGATGAAAAGCCAGTAAATCCACCTGGTTACAGACTTGAGCTGATTCACTCACTTTAGGGACAAATGCTGGATTAGTTCTGAGTCACCCTTGAGTAATCAATAGTGAACAGCCTATACGAGTTATGAACCAACAAAGCATGAAGTTCTCTAACCCGCCTCATGGTCAAAAGAGCCAATAATAAAGCAACCTTTAGCGAAAGGAGCTTTAAATCAACACTCCCTATGGGTTCAAAAGGGGTCTAATGACCACGGACAGATCCCACGGCGGAATCAGCGAACCCTGTTCATAAGCCGCACACCTCTCATAAACCTGCATACGAGTGGATTAAGTGTCTCAGTCAATCCCCACATTGCACACAGAAATCGCGGCAAGATATACCTTTATTGTAGGAAAGGATCTTCCCTAGTCTGAAAGTTCCTGCAGAAAGCATAAGACATCCGCAACCAGACAGAGGAAAGGTAAAACGTGTTGGTGCGCACACCATTGCTCGAACACATTACATTTCCATTTATAATGGTTTCAATCATCCTCGAAGATAAACACGTAATGTTTAAGTGTAACCTCTCACGGGGAGGAGCCACTTTGTCTGGGGCTGGGTGAAAAATCTCCCCTCGTGCTTGTGAGAGGAGGTCCTTGCACAACGGGAGAGGCCAAGGCAGGTCGCACAGGAGTTGAATTATCTCCATCAGCCACAACTACCCTGGCCAGTTCGGGGCGATCAGTATTACTGAGTGACTGTACTCTCCAGAGGTGTAAAGTCCAGGTTCAGAAAGTAAAAGTCCTCAGTATTTTGTTCCAATCACCTGGATTTGTTAATTAGCACAGTTTTTCAGCCAGGAGATATAACTAATTAGTGAAATCAGCTGGCTGAGTTCATGGGTGGAATAAACATATGGCAGGACTTTTACTTTCTGTCCCCTGGACTTTACACCTCTGGTACTCTCTTATGGCGGCCATACACTGTGCGATTTTCGTCCGATTTTGAGCCGAATTCTGACTCGTGCGACTCTTTTTCGGGTCGGACCGATTTTCAGCTTTGTCGTGCGTCGTGCAGTGTTCGTGCAGTGTACAGGGAGAAACGAGAGGCGATTAACCTCTCCCGATCGACAATCGGATGGTCGGATGAATTTCTGGCATGTCAGAAATTTGTTGTCGCTCCTCGTGACTATATCGCACAGTTGAAGCAAAGCTACGAACCGATTGCCCTAAGCTCAGTGTTTTTTCCCCCACTGCGCCTGCGCGAAAACAGAAGTTTAACCATTTCATCTGCAGCAAAAATAAAATTAAAATAAAAACGAAAAGATATAATTTTTGTATATTAAAATAATACAAAACATTTGCTGACCACTCTCGGGACTAATGAGAGCCCGAAAGAAACTGTCCAAAACTTGTATAGGCTGTGCCCTGATAGGCAAACCTGAGGAATTTTCTGTGTGCCGGCTAGATGTCTATGTAAATCTTCTTTCAGATCGACTGATGTACACCAGTCTTTGGGACGAATATAATGACAGACTTTTGAGCGAGAGCATTTTGAATTTGTACTTTCTGAGGTGTTTGTTGAGGTCCCGCAAATCCAGAATGTCTCAGCCCACTGCCTGGATGCACAGGGAATGAGTTTATTATTTTCACACCACACATGTCCTTTTGAAAACTGCCCTCTACCCTCCATTGTTTGTAACCCCGTGGGAGGAGGGGGGAGAAAGTCTCTGTGGGGCACTGAGGGAACCGGTGCCAACTTCACAACTGAAATGGCCATAAGATAACTTTTTTTCTGTGAACAATTGCCATGTTCTACTCTTTTATTAAAAAAAAATCATCAGCATAACATAATAATAACAATCTTTCTTAAATGTATGTACAGTGTTTATTGTGTGTGATCTTTGACTTGTTCTGTAATGTCACTAAAATGCTGCTGTAATAAATATAACGCTGGTTCTGATAAACAAGGCTCATATGACTAAGCAGTGATAAGTGTCGGGGTTATGTTCTGTGTTGTCTGTCTTCATTTGTGTTCACCTTCTGTTTGCTCATTTTCAGTTGACCCAGTTTTTCCATGTTTCTTTATATCATCTCCTTCACCTGTCCCTTGTTTTTCAGCTCATTAGTCCTCGTTTGGT